GTCAGTAGAAATGCAATTTTATCATATGGTGGAGGAATGGAGGTACAAAGAGAGGCAGAGGAGGTTGAAGAGCGTGAGGGAGGTACAGGGTGAGCTTGAGTCCGTAAAGATGCCGGAAAAAGGGAGATGGTTTCTCGAAGAAAGTGTAAACAGAATTAGCCAAATGCCGGATATGGTCTGGAGGCGAAATGGAAGTGAATGAGGGCAAATTATCGGGGGTGGCAGGTGTAGTGATGTTATCGGAGCCCGAGCATTACACCGATGGTCAGGATAAAGATGAGTCTGTGACGGTAGGAGTGAAATGTTTGTAGAAAGTGGACCCCTGCTTTTTGGCTGATCCATGTGTGGTTTCAGGGTGGGTGAAAACAGAGTTGGGAACTGTGGAATCAGTGAAGGTAACCCGAAGTGGTCTTGTGATAATTGTTTGTGTTTCTGACGGTCAGAGGGAGCGGGCGCTCCGCACCACATTAATGGAGACAAGATCTGTGACTTGTTTTGCTCTCAAGAAAAGGGCACCATTGAAAGGAGTGATTACTGGGGTAGCTGTAAATGTGAAAGTGGACCAAATGAAGGGAAAGATTCCAGGTGTTTGTGATGCTCGTCGTATGGTGTGATGCAGACATGGTGGCGTGAGTGGTGGCGTGTGTGGGGAAACAGAGTCATTGTCTATTCTTTTGAATTTTGATGTTGAGTCTTTGCCTGACAAAGTGACGTTAGGATATTTCAGTTATCCCGTACGAGCTTTTGTGCCGAATCCATTATGTTGTTACAGGTTTCACGGGCATGTGGCAGCAGTGTGTAGGAGGGATGTTCCTCGTGTGAGAAGTGTGCAGAAGGGCATGAGGCAAAGGAATGTGTAGTATTGGGGAAAGAAGCGGTATGTGTTAATTGTAGGAGTGCCCATGGGGATGGGGATCAGAAGTGTCCTGTGCAAGAGAGGCAGGTTGAGGTTGCCAGGGTTAGAGTAGTGCAGAGGTTGTCATATGCTGAGGCAGTGAAGAAAGTAGAGGAAGATGGGTCAAGGAGGAAGGATCCTGAGAGGATTTGTGTGAGTAGTAGATCTATACCAGCACAGATGGGCAGGGGCGGTGTGTTCATTAGGGCGATATGGGCGACGCACTGCCAAACGGGAAAAGGAAGGGATTTTTTTTCTAATCAATTATATCACGGCAACAGTAGTTCAGTGTTCTAATCTAGACGCCTGATCTGCCAATAAATGTCCAATCATGCTAAAGTCGTGCTTCAAATGTCCCCGCCCGTTTTGGGGCGATTTCAGTCAGGTTGAAAATCGCCCAGAAGTCTCTCATAGCCTCTAATGTAAAATATTTTTTTTTCAAATATCTGAGCTTTCAATACAATCTCTATGGGTTTCTGAGGGCTTGCACTTACGCGCTTTCGTCATACGTAACGTAACGATGAACGTAACTAAGAAACTACTCTTTCACCCTGAAGGCGGCAAGGCAGTAACGGACATGCACCATCTTTCAGAAAAGATTAAGAAACATGAGCTGTCAAAGACCCACATGGATAGCTGTTTGAGATTGTCTGCTTTTGGGAGAGTGAATATTGCCACTCAACTGGATGAGGGATACAGGCTAGCTGTCCGCCGCCACAACGATGAGGTTAGCAACAGCAGAGTCGTGAACACTGTCTACGAGAATCGAGACGACCTCATAGAATGTTTTGAAGCCATCCGGACGGGTTCATTGGGTTCATTTGACCAGCACACCTTGAGAGAGGCAGCTGGCTACGTGAGGATACTACATGATGAAGATTTAATTTTTTTCCTGCGGCTTTTTCACAAAATCATGCCCCACGTCGACATTCTGTACCAGAAGCTACAGAAGAAGGACATCGATGCTGTGTTTATCAAACGTGCCCTCGACAGCTTCACAAGCAAGTGCAGGCCATAAGGTAAGATTAAACAATATCAAAAAATGTGGTAAAAGCTCTTGTTGATCCTGCAATCTGAACAAATACCAAGATGCTGTATTTTCAGCTGATATTTCATTTGTTTATGGAAATGCATATTGTTTATGCAGGTTGAGGTGTAAAGCCGTGAAACGAGCCACACTTGAGATTCATAATGCTTCGGTAGTTAAGATTTGTGTAATTTTATGGTGTAGGTCATAGCATCAGAAAAATTGGTAATTTTTTCAGGAGCCGCCACTGCAGATGGGTAAGCCAACGAGTATTATATGCTTCAGTAAGATTGTAATTTTAGGTTTCATAGCAATGGTTATCAACTGTACCGCAAGGATGGAACATACTGTAAGTCGCAGAAAATATAGGTTGTGGTGTCAGCTGCAGAGAAGTATTTGGGTGTACGAGATTTGAAGTCCAAAGAGTTACAGGGTGTGTTGAGTGGTGGTGTCCCGTCCTTCCAGGCCGTTGACCTGAGGTGGGACCAGATAGGTTTAAATAGTTGAATAGGGTGGTGGGTTTTTAGTGAATGTAGGGTTAAATGGCAGGGTATTTATTATAATTTTTTATACACAAGGTATAAGGGATTTATACCACAGTCTAGTTTGTGGCGTTAATGCAACATTTATTGGGTGTCAACCAGCGTTAAATTTAATCAAAGAAGAATAACGTTTTCTCACCACCAAATATGGTAGTGAGAGGAATTCCAGTCGCAGGTAGTGGGATAGGATGGAACTAGGTGAAACTGGGCCGTTAACTACAACCAGTTAACAGGTTTGGAAACTGATGTTTCGTTTGAATCAGATGGCGTGTCAAGTGGAGATGAGTGTGAGAAGAATGGTATTACAGTGGTGAATGCAAAAGGCAATAAGAGAAGTAAAGTGGTAAATGTGGAAGCGTTGGATGAGATGGCATCGATGAGAGTAACAAAAAGTGTTTATTTTTATTTTTTTACTTTTTATTTTCTATGGAGCAGAAGGCGCGTGCTCTGCACATCAAGAAGATATCGGATTGGAATGTGTTGTGTGTGGCTCTTCGAAGCAGGGCGCCTATATTTGGGTGTTATCTCTGGGGTGGCGCTAGAAGTAAAAGCAAAGGATACATGTGAAGAATTGGATCAAGTGGTTGGTGCACACTAACTGACCCGGCTTCCCCACTCCATCCATTCTATAGTTTTTTTATGGAGTCTCTCCCTTCTCACGTGTATTTGGGTTTTATGAGATACCCATTCAGTGTGATAAATGCAAATGATTTGGTCATGTGTCAAGTGTTTGTAGAAGGAAGGGGTATTGTAATTCAGTTGAGTCTAAATGCTGCAATTTTGGTGGTGAACATGCTCCTGATTTTCTGAAGTGTCCTGTTAGGGCGAAGTAGACGGAGGTGGTGAGAAGAGTGGAAGAAAGGAGTGAAGTTGAAGAAATGATGGTGGTAGGATTAGAGACACCAGATAATATTATTTGTCAACAGAGGTATCCTGACATGTTGCATGTTAAGAAGGTGGACTTTGAAGTGTTTATTGCATTGGTTATGAATTGCACAGCGCAAACAGAGAGGAAATTTGAGAAAATAGGCATCATTGTGAGTGCGGCTGAGCATTTTCTGGGACTCAGAGATTTTACAGCTGAGGCATTACAAGGAATCCTGTCGATGAATGCGCCGTCCTCACAGGCACCTGAGCCTGTTTAAGGGATGTGATTTGAACTGTGAATGAACGAGTGGGATGTTTTTTGTAATTATGTTTTTGAATTTTGTATGTTGTCGGGTATGGTGCCCCCCTTCCAGCAATGGAATATTTTTTTTATTCAATAGCCCGTACAGTAGGTGGTAGCAATACACCAATAGGTGTAGTCTGCCATAAAACCTTGAAGAAGAAGAAGAAGAAGAAGAAGAAGAAGAAGAAGAAGAAGAAGAAGAAGAAGAAGAAGAAGAAGAAGAAGAAGAAGAAGAAGAAGAAGAAGTCAGAAAGGCGAATAAAGGAAAAGAAGAAAGTCTGTCAGTCTTGTGTTTTTTTTTATAATCTACTACAACATGTGAAGCTTGGTTATGTAAGATACGTTGTAAGAGCTTTCATTCCCAAACCACTGCAGAGTAAAACCTGTAAAGGATTTGGCCTTGTTTCAAGTGTGTGCAGACGGACGGAGTATAATGAAGAACAGTGTGTAGAAGGACAACAGTGTTGCGGATTTGTGGTGGGATCATGATCCCGAGTTCCTGGAGTGCACTGTAAGGGGATGATGAAGAGATGTTAGAGCGACCAACCGAATCTCCCGATGGAGGCGATTAAAATAATTGAGAAAACAGTAAATGGTAGTGATGTCCCCCCGCCTGTAGTAAGGTTTTCTGCCAGTAAAAAGAGACCCTGTGTGTTAAAAAGGTGGATGTTTGGGCGTTCATTGCCACATTGTAACGTAACGGCTCAAGTCTGTAAGTCGCTCTGGATAAGAGCGTCTGCTAAATGACTAAAAAAATTTTTAAAAAAGTATCAAAGAGGTCTAAGAAACTGGACATTATTGTGGCTGCGGCAGAAAAGTTTTCATATTACATCTGAAGATTTGCAAGGGTTATTGGCACTGGAAGACGGCTGTTTATTCTGTTTATTTTTTAACAGTAAATTTGTTTCATTTATTTTATTTTAGCTATTTTTTTTATTTTTTTGGTAGTTTGTTCCGTTTATGGGGGGGATTCCCTGTTTTCCTCCCGCACAGTAGGTGGCGGGATGCACATTCAATTGTGCAATTGTCAATATAACATAGAAGACGAAGAACAACTTTGGAAATGTCCGAGTTTCCTAGTTCCGACTATAACTTGAACGCGGCATTGTGCCGTATGTTCAGAATAGAACATTGGTTCCCAACCTTTTTCGGTTACTGTACCACCAACTGAATTTCTCTCTACCGGGAGAACCAATTTTACCAACTATGGTCTCATGAGTCTTCTCAAATACCCTCCAGGGGTCCTAGTAACGTTACCCCTGATTGGGAACCACTGGAATAGAACAACTAGAGAGGAAACGACGGATTTTTATTTTTTTAAACGACACGCATATGGGCAAGTTCCCAACTAGCACTGTCGGGAAAATGGCTAAAATAGAGTTGTTGGGATTGATTTTCAACCAGGGATTTAGAGCAGTTCCTGAGCTATTTAGAGCCGTTGAAAAAACAATAACAGATTACCAGGGAAAAGATTGCCTATCGAAAGAGGAGAACGACCGTCTACAGAAGCTGCTTGATATCCTCCTTAAACCAGAGATACAGTTACATAGAGCAGGTTTGTTACTCTACGTCTCCACATTAACGTTTATTTTATACACATGAAATAAGTAAATGTTGTTTGTATATCATTCAAGTGAGGGATAACGTTAGATAGTTAGCTAGCCAGCTATTGTTATTGGAACGTTAGTTAACGTTCCATTTCACCGCAGTAGATAGGACAGTATATCTAGATTATAGAATCAGATGATGGTAGAGAGTAAAGTATACCCTTTGTTTTTTCCGATAGTCGAACTCTTTAACAGAGGCGAAAAGGAGGCATTATGCGGTTTTCTGGCGCTCAGGTGGTTTATTGACCGTCGTAAAAGTGCAATACCGGTAATTGCATGTTTTTGCATTACCATTAAGGAGTATTCGTAGCACTATATGAAGATTACACTCACTGCATAGGGCCTCCAGTCGCTGTAGGGCCCAACATTTTTGTTAGTTACCTCTAACGTGAACTACTAAGGGTGCTATATATTTGACCCATTTACAAGGATTTCCTATCCAGGTGAAATGGAGATGTAAAACCACATAATGTGATATCTAACCCCTCATCCATGCTACATTCATAAGAATTCCAGTTTACCACTTCCCTGATTTTATAGTCCTATTTCTTGTGATGGGTCTAACTTTCAATACATTCCTATCCATATGAGCTACAGATCTACAGACAAGGGCGGCACCTTTTATTTATTTTTTCATTCCTCCCCTTTGATTATCTACAAATTTAGCTATTAATTAATGTACAGATCTAATTTTCAGTAGCTTCCTATCCACATGACAATGACATACTTCTAAAACTCTCGAGGTTAAGCGTCTTACCTCCCTTGTCCATTAGTACACCCATTAGAATTTTTCATTTAACTAATTTTACATGAATATTTTCTGTGATAGGTCTAATTTTCAATAGCTCACTGTCCATATGAGCTACAGGTCAACAGATGAGTGTGGTGGGTTCCTAGACCTCTCTTATCAAAGGTACACCTTTTATTTTTTTCAAAATTCCTCACCTTTGCATTTCTAAAAATATTTCACATATTACAGCTGTGGTTATTAATTTACCTACAGATCTCATTTTTAATAGTTTCCAGTCCAAATTACATATATATCTAAAACCACTTCATATTAGGTCCCTGACCTCCCTCCATAGTACAATGTTAGAAATTACATTTTTAATTTGGCCATATGAGCTACAAATCTTCAGACAAGTGCGGTGGGTTCCTTGACCTCTCTTATAAAAAGTATACCTTCCATTTTTTTTTTATCCTCCCCTTTTGATTTTCTACAAATATTTATCCTATTACAGCTGTGGTTATTAATTCACGTACAGATCTCATTTTTAATAGCTTCTTCTAGTCCGACTGACATGCATCTAAAACCACTTGATATTATGTCACTGACCTCCCTTGTCCATAGTACACCCATTTAGATTTGCTATTTTTTATTTCATGGTTTTTATATTAATATTGGTTCTATTAGGATGTTTTCACATAGTCCTCTTTAAAGTGAACTCTGGGGTAAAAAAACAAAAGCAGAAGAGCTCGGTTCTCTTTGTATTCACACTGCCCTTGCCTTTGAATGAGGACTCAACTCTTTTGCCAGTTCACTTCACCTATTTTGTGGTCCGAGTCCTCTTTGCATTCACATTGCTATGTTTAGAAAGGAAAGATATTTTTCCATCATTCACTCAATGGATTCTGGGTTTTTACAAAGTGCAGGACAAGCCATTCCATCAGATCGTGTTATCGGACAGCTAGATATACCTACTTACATTTTGGACGCTAATAGATTGCGTTTAGTTAAAAGATGAGACGTAATAATTACAATCAGAAGATAATATTAACATGTAAATGCTATAATGGCGAAGGTGCATAACGATTGAGGAATTCAGATATGACGTCTTTGTTTGAGCACTATCCTCAATACTTTTTCAACTACGGTCACATGGTTCAATGTGCCTGTGAATCAGCACAATCAACTTTTTAATTTTTTCAAATTGGTGCCGTCTTGGAGCTAGAATTGGGATCATATATACTATGCTAATGCTATACAATAAAAGAGTAACGGAGAGCACTGTACAATATGGCGACCTTAGCAAATGAGGAGTTTGTGGTAAGTACATGAGGGCGGCCATCTTTATACAACTTCGGCATTGAACATTTTACACCCAATGTAGGCTACTGCCCCTTTAAGAGCTAACATTGATTTTGTGGATAATGCTATCTGGGACCCTTGGGGTGTGCATACCCTAAATCCTAACCTTAACCCTTACCTTACCTAATGTTGTGATTCTCACTAGCCCAAAGTCCGGCAGATGGCGATATTGAGTCGTTGGATCAATATCGCCATCAGCCGGCCTTTGGGCTATATTCTCACCATATATGTTGTTTTCTTCTCACACTACTCAAACCCCACAATATAATAAGCTTATGAAGCTCTCTTAGCCTATAGATCACATTGCAAAACTCCACACATTTTGGAATTTCTGTGCATTCTTGACAATAGCTAATCTATATATAAAAACAGCACACGTTTTTCTTCCCATGAACTTGCACATCATAATCATCTCTCTTTTGTGGCACCAATGTGAGGGGTTATGGCAGGGGAAACGGTGTTGCAGTAGTCTAGTGTGTGGTGCGGGAATAATGACAAGCGAACCTGGGGAGCTTTGTTCACATTGCCCTAAAAAAGGGAACCGGACCTCTCGATGGTCTCAGTTTGGTTCGATCGCGGGCTCTTTTGAGGGGTCTGCGTTTCTTTTGGAGTGTTCACCCTGCACAAAAACTTAAGCAACACGCACAAAAATTGGCTGAAAGGGACCAAGTGTGAAAAGACCCTTCAAGAGGGTGCCTTCAGAAAGTATCCACACACCTTGATTTCTTTCCACATTATGTTGTGTTACAGCCTCAATTTAAAATGGATTCAATTTAGATTTTGTCTCTGGCCTACACACAAAACCCCATAATGTCAAAGGGTAATTATGTTTTTTGAAATGTTTCCAAATTAATTACATATGAGAAGCTTAAATGTCTTGAGTCAATAAGTATTCAAACCCTTTTGTTATGGCAAGCCTAAATAAGTTCAGGAGTAAAAATGTGCTTAAGTTGCATGGACTCAATCTGTGTGCAATGATGGTGTTTAATATTATTCTTTAATGACTACCTCATCTCTAGTCGAACAGTGAATTTCAAACACAGATACAACCACAAAGACCAGGGAGGTTTTCCAATGCCTCGCAAAGGGCACCTATTGGTAGATGGGGGGGGGGGGGGGGAAGAAAAGAAAACAGACATTGAATATCCCTTTGAGCATATTGAAGTTATTCATTACACTTTGGATGGTGTATCAATACAGCCTGTCACTACAAAGATACAGGCATCCTTCCTAACTCAGTTGCCGGAAAGGAAGGAAACCGCTCAGGGATTTCACCATGAGGCCAATGGTGACTTTAAAATAGTTAGAGTTTAATGGCTGTGATAGGAGTAAACTGAGGATGAATCAACAACATTGTAGTTACTCCACAATACCTAAACGACAGAGTGAAAAGAAGGAAGCTTGTACAGAATAAAAAATATACCAAAACAGGCACCCTGTTTGCAATAAGGCACTAAATTAAAACTGCAAAAAATGTGGCAAAGAAATGAACTTTGTCCTGAATACAAAGCGTTATGTTTGGGACAAATCTAACACATCACTGAGTACCACTCTTCATATTTTCAAGCATGGTGGTGGCTGCATCATGTTGTGGGTATGCTTGTAATCGTTAAGGACTGGGGAGTTTTTCAGGATAAAAAATAAACTGAATGGAGCTAAGCACAGGAAAATCCTAGAGGAAAACATGGTTGTCTGCTTTCCACCAGACACTGGGAGATGAATTCACCTTTCAGCGCGACAAAAACCTAAAACACAAGGCCAAGTCTAAGTTGCTTACCAAGAAGACAGTGAATGTTCATGAGTGGCCGAGTTAGATTTTCAAGCAGATTTAAGTAAAAACTATGGCAAGACCTGAAATGGTTGTCTAGCAATGATCAACAACCAATTTGACACAGCTTGAAGAATTTTGAGAAGAATAATAGGAACATTTTGCACAATCCAGGTGTGGAAAGCTCTTAGACTTACCCAGAAAGACTCACAGCAGTAATCAAAGCCAAAGGTGATTGTAACATGTATTGACTCAGGTGGTTGAATCCTTACGTAATCAAGATATGTTAGTGTCAAGTTTTATTTTTACGAATATCAATTTTTCTTCCACTTTGACATTCAAGTATTTTTTTGTGATCGTTGACCAAAAAATGACTATTAAATCCATTTTAATCCCACTTTGTAACACAACAAAATGGAAAAAGTCAAGGGCTGTGAATACGTTCTGATAACACCGTATGTGAAAACACTGTTCTCTCCCAATGTGTTCTCCAATCTCATAAAACATTTTCAAAAAAGGCTCAGTGTCGTTATCCTCGCAAGGAGAGGGTGCTGGAGTATTGAAAACAGGGGTGTCAATAACTTTGACACCTATATTTTAGAATTGTTTTAATGACTTGTTAAACAATTTCTTTCTATGACCAATTGTCTTACTATAAAATGATATACAATTTGCACACAATTTGAATCATTTATTTTATACAGTATTTTTTGCTCATCTTTATGAAGGGTGACAATATTTTGGTGGTGACTGTTAAATATGTAAAATTATTTAGGATATAAAGCTATAGAAAAGTATGTCTGTATGTTAATTAGCAACCAAAGCAGTAATATGAAAACTATTTCCAAGAGGACCAGGGGAGGAAGATTTTTTTATATTTTTTTAAGGTGTACCTTTGATAAGAAAGGTCAAGGAACCCAACACACTTGTCTGTAGATCTGTAGCTCATGGACAGTGAGCTATTGAAATATAGACATAGCACAGAAAATATTCATGTAAAATGAAAAATTGCATTTCTAATGGGTGTACTATAGAGGAGGAAGTGACCTAATATCAAGTGGTTTTAGATGTATATCTCATTTGAACTGGAAGCTATTGAAAATTAGATCTGTACGTGAATTAATAACCACAGATGTAATAGGATAAATATTTGTAGAAAATCAAAGGTGGAGGAACTTTGAAAGAAATGGAAGGAGTACCTTTTGATAAGAGGTCAAGGAACCCACCACACTTGTCTGTAGATCTATAGTTCATATGGACAGTGAGCTATTGAAAGTTAGACCTATCACAGGAAATATTCATGTAATATCAGTGAAATAAAAACAATTGAATTTCTAATGGGTGTACTATGGAGGAAGGCAACCTGATCTCAGATCATTTAGTATTATTCTGTACATAAATCTGAGACACTCCATTTTGTATGATATGTTACATTTCGTATGGTATGTATTAATTTGTGCGTGTCCATCACCCATTGCGTGTGATATGTTACGAATTACAATTTGTTTTATACAGTGGGGAGAACAAGTATTTGATACACTGCCGATTTTGCAGGTTTTCCTACTTACAAAGCATGTAGAGGTCTGTAATTTTTATCATAGGTACACTTCAACTTTGAGAGACGAATCTAAAACAAAAATCCAGAAAATCACATTGTATGATTGTGTAATTAATTTGCATTTTATTGCATGACATAAGTATTTGATCACCTACCAACCAGTAAGAATTCCGACTCTCACAGACCTGTTCGTTTTTCTTTAAGAAGCCCTCCTGTTCTCCACTCATTACCTGTATTAACTGCACCTGTTTGAACTCGTTACCTGTATAAAATACACCTGTCCATACACTCAATCAAACAGACTCCAACCTCTCCACAATGGCCAAGACCAGAGAGCTGTGTAAGGACATCAGGGATAAAATTGTAGACCTGCACAAGGCTAGGATGGGCTACAGGACAATAGGCAAGCAGCTTGGTGAGAAGGCAACAACTGTTGGCGCAATTATTAGAAAATGGAAGAAGTTCAAGATGACGGTCAATCACCCTCAGTCTGGGGCTCCATGCAAGATCTCACCTCGTGGGGCATCAATGATCATGAGGAAGGTGAGGGATCAGCCCAGAACTACGCGGCAGGACCTGGTCAATGACCTGACGAGAGCTGGGACCACAGTCTCAAAGAACCATTAGTAACACACTACGCCGTCGTGGATTAAAATCCTGCAGCGCACGCAAGGTCCCCCTGCTCAAGCCATCGCATGTCCAGGCCTGTCTGAAGTTTGCCATTGACCATCTGGATGATCCAGAGGAGGAATGGGAGAAGGTCATGTGGTCTGATGAGACAAAAATAGAGCTTTTTGGTCTAAACTCCACTCGCCGTGTTTGGAGGAAGAAGAAGGATGAGTACAACCCCAAGAACACCATCCCAACAGTGAAGCATGGAGGTGGAAACATCATTCTTTGGGGATGCTTTTCTGCAAAGGGGACAGGACGACTGCACCGTATTGAGGGGAGGATGGATGGGGCCATGTATCGTGAGATCTTTCCCTCAGTAAGAGCATTGAAGATGGGTCATGGCTTGGTCTTCCAGCATGACAACGACCCAAAACACACAGCCAGGGCAACTAAGGAGTGGCTCCGTACGAAGCATCTCAAGGTCCTGGAGGGGCCTAGCCAGTCTCCAGACCTGAACCCAATAGAAAATCTTGAGGGAGCTGAAAGTCCGTATTGCCCAGCGACAGCCCCGAAACCTGAAGGATCTGGAGAAGGTCTGTATGGAGGAGTGGGCCAAAATCCCTGCTGCAGTGTGTGCAAACCTGGTCAAGACCTACAGGAAACGTATGATCTCTGTAATTGCAAACAAAGGTTTCTGTACCAAATATTAAGTTATGCTTTTCTGATGTATCAAATACTTATGTCGTGCAATAAAATGCAAATGAATTACTTAATCATACAATGTGATTTTCTGGATTTTTGTTTTAGATTCCATCTCTCACAGTTGAAGTGTACCTATGATAAAAAAACTACAGACCTCTACATGCTTTGTAAGTAGGAAAACCTGCAAAATCGGCAGTGTATCAAATACTTGTTCTCCCCACTGTATGTTACTAATAAGCAAAACATATGATATGTTATGAATTCTATCTAGGTGGCTATGTGGATAACGTTAGCTAGGATAAGGGTTAGGATTTAGGTTAAAATAGGAATTCTAATGGATGTATAATGGATTAGGGACATCAGTGACTTTGCTACAAGTGATTTTAGCTCTCTAGGTCATGCAAGTATGCTACAGTAGTTTGCGTACGAGTGAGAAAGATCATAGGCTTATTTATGTTTTTTGAGTATTACATTTTACCTAAAAATATATTATTTTTTAAATAAACAACATTACATTTTTAAATGTAATTATTGTCGTGGGAAAACAAAGTTGGTTTCGGATCTCTAGATCATTTTAATTGTAAAATAAATACATACATAATAATAATCAAGTTTTTCTGTGAACACCAGGTTCGGCTGATTGCACTTTTAAGACGCCCTGAGTCCATAATGGGATGTGGTCCTCTGTAGCTCAGCTGGTAGAGCACGGCGCTTATAACGCCAAGGTAGTGGGTTCGATCCCCGGGACCACCCATACACAAAAAAAATGTATGCACGCATGACTGTAAGTCGCTTTGGATAAAAGCGTCTGCTAAATGGCATATTATTATTATTATTATTATTATTATTATTATTATTATTATTATAATATTCCCCCATTGAAACCAACTTAGTCACTTTTTGAAAACGGAATGGAGAAAAAATGGCTGTACCTTGCTCTCTAGCATCATCTGATTCTAGATATATCACCCTAATGATTATAGTACCTTCTGTCGAAGAGGTATTTACGAGTAAACTCCAAATATCAAACCAATATCCAAACTGAAAACACATTTACTGTGATTTCTAGTTCTAGGGTAAAATGGGCATTGCATTAATAGAGATCCTATTAAATTACTATTCTAATTCCTAATGCTATTGTTGCATGTCTAGTGGTAATTGTTGTTCACAACACTTGCATCCCCTTTCTACTGTGGGGTTCGGGTGCTTAGCCCAAAGACAGACCAATTTTGTGTTTCCTCTCGGAGTCGGACCCAAAACAAGTAAAAAGTTCCAGGGACGTGGACTTTCCCTGATTTGGGGTCAGCAGGCTTTTTGGAGCTGCATCAATAAAACAATGATTAAACATAACAATTTATAATTCTCCTTCCCAAAATAAACTGTTTGATTATTCAGAAGTTATCGTTTCTGTTCTTCCCAAGTCCTTAGTGTCAGCCCTATCTATTAAAAAAGAATTTCCCTAGTATAACACCATGGTTAAAGCCATTGTCTCACTCCACACCGGTGTTGCAATGGAAATTGCAACCATATTATTTGGGGTGGGTGCATATATACTGTATTAGCCCTATTACACACACACACGTACAAGTGTGTAATTTATATGCATGTGTAAATTGGAAAATGTTTTTTTTTTTTGCATATCCCACTCTCCCCGAGACACCCTCGGAGCATGGGGTCACAGCCCAGATTTGCCATGTCATTACTAAAGTGAGGGAAAAAATTATTTGATCCCCTGCTGATTTTGTACGTTTGCCCACTGACAAAGAAATTATCAGTCTATAATTTTAATGGTAGGTTTATTTGAACAGTGAGAGACAGAATAACAACAAAAAAATCTCCTCTGAATCATTCAGATGTTCATTGGCAAACTTCAGACGGGCCTGTATATGTGCTTTCTTGAGCAGGGGGACCTTGCGGGCGCTGCAGGATTTCAGCCCTTCACGGCGTAGTGTGTTACCAATTGTTTTCTTGGTGACTATGGTCCCAGCTGCCTTGAGATCATTGACAAGATCCTCCCATGTAGTTCTGGGCTGATTCCTCACCGCTCTCATGATCATTGCAACTCAACGAGTTGAGATCTTGCATGGCGCCCCAGACCGAGGGAGATTGACAGGTCTTTTGTGTTTCTTCCATTTGTGAATAATCGCACCAACTGTCGTCACCTTCTCACCAAGCTGCTTGGCGATGGTCTTGTAGCCCATTCCAGCCTTGTGTAGGTCTACAATCTTTTCCCTGACATCCTTGGTGAGCTCTTTGGTCTTGGCCATGGTGGAGAGTTTGGAATCTGATTGATTGATAGCTTCTGTGGACAGGTGTCTTTTATACAGGTAACAAGCTGAGATTAGGAGCACTCCCTAGTGTGCTCCTAATCTCAGCTCTTTACCTGTATAAAAGACACCTGGGAGCCAGAAATCTTTCTGATTGAGAGGGGGTCAAATAGTTATTTCCCTCATTTAAAATGCAAATCAATTTATAACATTTTTGACATGCGTTTTTCTGGATTTATTTGTTGTTATTCTGTCTCACTGTTCAAATAAACCTACCATTTAAAATTATAGACTGATCATGTCTTTGTCAGTGGGCAAACGTACAAAATCAGCAGGGGATCAAATACCTTTTTCCCTCACTGTATGACTACTCCAAGGTTTTACAGAGACTACTATATCATTTCATTGTTCAAGTTCTAGCTAATTAATCCTTTCTTTTTCACTTCAGACCACCAACAGCTCAACGCCACAGAAGAGGAGGTTCCCCCTGAGCAGCAGCACTGTGAGCAGGAAAGGAGCCCCAGTCTGGGGCAAGATGACTCCGAGCCCACACAGATTAAAGAGGAACAGGTGGTACTCAGGACCAGCCAAAAGCTGAAGTATAATACCAAAGACTCTGTATTGACTCATCCCTGTGTGAAAAGTGAGTATGATGAGTATCCAACTCAGTCCTCACATTTTAACAAAACCCAAAGTAAAGCATGCAAGAACAGAGACTCTTCAACTAAACAGATAAAAACTGAACCTCATGAGGACTCTTCAGAACCAACCAGTGACTCTCAGGCCCTCTCTTTAGTAAATCCAGGCTCTTCTGCATCTCAGAATGAAAACCGTGGAAGTGTTGATGCGAAGTGGAGTGGAGGATCTCTGGGGGCTTTAAAGATGCGCAAATCAAAGAGGACACGGACAGAAAAAGAACAAATCCCTACTTGTTGTAAGGTGTGTGGAAGGTCTTGTCACTCCATGCGTACGTTATTGACTCATTTGAAAAGTCACAGAAAAGATGAGGAACATATTTGTGGTGTGTGTGGAAAAAGATGTCCATCCCTAGAAAGTGTGATGGATCACATACAAACTCACATGACGTCCCATCTGAAACCACCTAGTGAATGCCCTGCTGGTCCTTGTTGTAAGGTGTGTGGAAGGCCTTGTCACTCCTTTGGGGCTTTATTGAGACATTTGCGAAGACACAGAAAAGATAAGGAACACATTTGTGGTGTTTGTGGAAAAAGCTGTCAATCCCTAAAAGGTATGATGGATCACATATTACAAACTCACAGAACTAGGTTTTGTAAAGTTTGTGCTAAAAGTTTTGACTCTCCTAAGGATCTGAAAAATCATATGAGGACCCACACAGGGGAGAAACCATTTCCCTGTAATGATTGTGGCAGATGTTTCTCTTCAATTGGAACTTTGAATGTCCATATAAGGATGGTCCACACAGGGGAGAAATCTCATCATTGCCATGAATGTGGAAAATGTTACGCTCTGAGTGGAAATCTGAAAATGCATATGAGGCTTCACACTGGTGAGAAACCGTATCACTGTAATGACTGTGGCAAAATATTTCGCCTTGGCACTTCTCTGAAAATGCATGTGAGGACTCACACAAGGGAGAAGCCTTACCGCTGCCAGGATTGTGGCAATTCATTCTCTCGACGGGATCACCTGAAAAACCATAGCAGGATTCACACAGGGGAAAAACCTCACCGCTGTCCTGAATGTGCCAAATGCTTCCCTCAGAGAAGTAGTCTGCAAATGCATATGAGGATTCACACAGGGGAGAAACCACACCAATGTCATTTTTGTAAGAAACGTTTCACCTATAGCCATCATCTTAGAGAGCATATGAGAATTCACACCAATGACAAACCATTTCCCTGCCAGGAGTGTGGCCAATGTTTCAGTCAGAGTTCCAATTTGAATCGGCACATAAAGAGACACAGAGGGGAGAAACCACATCATTGCCATGTGTGTGGCAAATCTTTTTCCACTGGCTTTCAGTTGAATGTGCATTTCAGAATACACACAGGGGAGAAACCACATGTGTGTTCTAAATGTCCAAAATGCTTCAGTGACAGAGGGGCATTAATTAGTCATCAGAGACTGCACACGGAGGAGAAACCATTCAAGTGTAATTATTGTGTTAAATGCTTCAGACATAGACAGAACATGAAAGAACACATGAAGAGAAGGCACAAAAACATGACCGTGCCCTGTGTCGGGGAAGGTGATCAGACAGAAGATTGAAAGGCCATTCATCTGTTCTTGAGTGAATAAGACATGACCGAATGAACGCTTGAACTGTGAGAACATTGCTGTCTAACTGGCCTGCTTCACCAGACACGCTACGCTTTCAGAGCGTGACACACTCTTATTCGTGTAAATGAAACCAGGTGTAAGCACGCCGGCTTCGTGAGAGGAGTCCCTGCTCATTAGTTTAACAGACATTTGAGCTGCAGATCTGTATCTGTAATTAACTTAGTTTGTTGTTGTTGATGATAGCTTTGTCTAGTATATATTTTTATTTTGGGCCAACGGAGGACAAAAGTTAACATTGTAGTTTTTAGAGCTTTTTTGTTAGATACATAGTAGTTTTATACACAGTGGTTTGATTATACACATTACATATTGGATAGATAATACTGAAAACACTATGTAGATGTCTGAGTACTAACTATTACCGATCATGAGCTTTTTAATCCCACCCCTCTGCTACTCTCAGCCCATCCCACCTATCTCCATAGACCATCCTCTTTTGATTTCCACAAGCCATATATTTTTGAACTGTGCTGGAATGTCTTACATTAATTTTAAAACTTTCTGATCGCATAATGTCCACAGATTGTAAGTTAATTATGAATATTTTTTCTATGAGTATTATTATATTGTTGATTTATGGTTTTCCAAATTGCCCAACACTGCTATTTGTAGGGTTAATTTTAAATGAATGTTGTGATTTTTCAGCCATTCCTAAACCTGTGACCAGAAACAAGCTATATGGGGACAATTCCAGAATAAATTATATAATGATTCTGTTTCTTCGTAGAAAAATATGCAGAGCTGAGATTGTTGTTTTGCCTTGCAAAGGTATACCCCTTGAATTTCTTCATATTTTGTGTATTTTACAGTGGGATTAAAATTGATTTAATTCTAATTTTCTGTCAACGATCTACTCAAAAGGTCTAAGTCAGGGGTGTCAAACGTACGGCCCGCGGGCCGGATCAGGCCCGCAAACGGGTTTAATCCGGCCCGCGAGATGATTTTGAAGAAATTTTTTTAGTAATATTTTTATTTTTTTTATTTTTTTTAAGTATAAAAATGCGCTGCAATTTTTCAATAAAATAAACTGCTGTTCCAATTGCGTCCACTGGATGGTGCAATAGCAATTGTGTTAAGCAAGCAAACTGTTTATACCGGGGCAGAGCAAGTAGGTCAAGCACGTGCAGCCAATGAGCTACTTTGTTTTGCCCGCGATATTTATTACGGCTTCTACTTTTAACATTATGTGCTTTGGCACCCTCATTGCCCCAATATGTCTCTGTCAAAAAAGAGAAAATTTGTGTGCTCTGAAAAGCGGCAGGCTTTTGCAAATATCAGCCTGACAAGAAACACAGTTGCAGACAGGATTTCCGATCTTTCAGTGGATTTGGACAGCCAGTTGAAGCAAAAAGTAAAGTCATTTATTGCGTTTTCGGTTGCAATTGATGAAAGCACGGACATTACAGATGTTGCACAACTGGCCATTTTCATCCGCGGAGTTGATGACACATTGACCGTCACCGAGGAGTTCGTGGAGTTGGTGCCGATGATAGATACAACGACAGCAGCTGATATTTGATTTGTATAGGCATATATACTAATTTAATTTAACTTGTAAGCCAAGGTTGGATTAGTAGGTCTATGTAACATGCACCTGGATAACCGCGTCATTAATAAAAAAAATTCTCGAAATCATCTCGCGGGCCCGATTAAACCCGTTTGCGGGCCTGATCCGGCCCGCGGGCCGTACGTTTGACACCCCTGCTCTAGAGCATCCCGTATATTTATAGCGCTGCATTTCGTCCCCCTCTGACCATGGATAGGGTTGGGAGCATTCCTGAGTTCACTTATGGTCCCACTAAGGTAATCTTAGGAGATATTCCTTTTGGCATACTGTAAATGCCTGTGCATAATGTACCTAATAAAGCATAATTATTTTAATTATCTTCAAAGGAATTCTGTAGAAGCAGCCTTTATTTTCAGACTCTGCAGGCCTGCTGGGAGGAAGTATATTACAATAAACAGGTAAGATTCATCCCACAAAAACAGTAACCACAGAAAAAAATTGAGAGATTTAATCCCAAAACAAGAGTTTTATTTCAAGATAGTTTAGAGAAGATGGTCATAAGATCACTTGCAAATTGTGAGACATGAGCAGTTGTGAAATGTTGCGAGAAGCCCTTCTGAAAGCACATTATATGGTCTTTAGTGGCACGGTCTCACACCTTACCTCATCTTGCAGAAGAAGCTCATGGGCCACTATCTGCTGCTCCAGAGTCGAGGCCAGGTCTCGCCCCATGTCACCATGGAGCACATGAGCGACTGGCTGGTGTCTCAGGGCAAAAAATCCCTTAGGGAGAGGTGAGTACCACGTCAGCTCTCACCTTCACTGCCATTCTCTGTCACCAGCAGCACTCCAGGAGGTGTGGGTAAAATAAACAACAGATAAATAGGAAGCCAGGAAAGTTGAAATGCTTTGTGTTTTATTTGAAGGGTGTGGAAGGAAACCCTGGAGGAGGGGAACGAACTCGCTCGGCTGGTAAGAGAATGAGAGTTAGAGACTTAGACTATCAGTCAGTGAGCTCCTTTCTAGCCTTTCAACAACTAGTCAGTACAGCAGAATATATATGTTGTGAAATTACACTAATGGGACTTCCTGTTTCCTACGGCAGACCTGGGAAGTAAACACCTGCCTAAAAATGATTGACATGGAGCACGGGGCTCTCTGCAAGCTCCGCCGCTCTATGCACCCCACCTCTCCAGCTGGCGCTGACATGTGAGTTCCATGTACTGCCCTGCATACAGCTTGCTCCATTCATCTACACATCTGGAGCTATACAGAAAGAAACTAGGGCAGTGTTCTCTGTGTGAACATTGCACATCGTTTAGCTTTCTCTGCTGCTTTTTGTTGATTTCAGCGACCCTAAGGTCCACAGCATCGTGGAGAGAGCTGTGAGGAGCATTCTGGACAAGCTGTCCAATAAGCCCTGTAGCAACCTGCTCAGCCCATCCCAGGTGGTGGTGGAGCTGGTGCCCAGGATCCTCCTGGCCCTGTGGCTTCAGCCAGAGGAAGGCCATTCAGATCACCCCATCCTCCTAAGCGGGATGGCTGTGAGTATGGTGGTGGCCGTACACCCCTTTCTCCCGTGCTGCTGCTTTTGACTCTGTGAGGTCGATCCTCGGGAGAATCAGCCAGTCCTTCTACCTGGATGACCTCACAACCCCTTTTTTTATGAGCTCTGTCTGTGCCCTTTGTGCGACATGCAGTCGTCCGTT